CCTCGACTCCTATCCTCGAGACTTAGTCCCGCCCACAGGAGATGCGAGCGGAGGAGCCGAGGAGGGGAACCGAGGAGAGAGGAGGGGAAGCAGCAGGCGGTTAGAGAAATGAGAACTCCTCTCCTCTGAGCGGTCATTTTAAAGAGACGTCCATTAATGATGACAGGAGGCACTGCAGCCCTCTGTCTGATGGACAGATGTGTTCATGACGACTTATATATTTACTTTTAATTCATTCACAGTGCTGTATAATGAGACAATAACAGGCTACAGATGCAGACATACACACAGACACACACACATGTATATATTTATATAAATATATACAATTTCAGAATCAAACAGAGCACTCTCATAATAACGTAAGATATATATATATATATATATATATATATATATATATATATATATATATATATATATATATATATATATATATATATAACGTAATATATCCAGTCTACGTAACACGTAGACTGGATATATCCCCCCCCCCCTCTCTGGTCGCTACAATGAGGGAAATAAATGACGGGCCAAAAGTTTTATTTACAAGTATTACAAGTAAGCAGAGGACACCAAACCAACTGAGACCTGTCTGTCCGCTGCATCTACGCACACACTGCACCACACACACCTACACCACACACGCACCTACAGCTCCTAAAGCATATAATCAGGCTACAGCCGTTGTGTATTTTATTATGTGAAGCACTAAATGGTTTTAGAAAAATATCGACTTTGTTTGTAGATATCTACTAAACTAAAGCAAATAAAGAGACCTGTTATACTGAGTGATATGATATATATTATACACACTGCTCTGCTTTCTGCACGGACCTCACAGCTGTTCTCACTGTAAACATCGCGTCGCGATGAAAGCAGTTAATAAAATAATATCCAGGGGATGCATGCAGAGCTGTCATTGGCTGAGATAAGTCCGGCCGTGCGTCTCGACTCTTTGAAACATCACTGTTGCCGGAAATGCATCCACGAAGGAGCCGTGGAGGACCGTGGAGGACCCATCAGTGTATCCTCGGTTATAGCTCCTCGACGCTCGATGCTCGGTCCTCGATGTGCATTTCGAGAAATGAGATGTCCTTCAACATGGCGCGCTAAAATTCATTTCCGGGTCACTACCGGAGGACCGAGGAGTCGAGGAGGGACATTTGAGCCTCGTCTCAATACCCCTCCTCGACTCCTCCTTTCCCTCACTCGCGTCCCTTCCTTGCGTCTTAGCTCCGCCTCCGTAAGATGCGAGCGAGAGACACGAGGAGGTGACGCGAGGACAGAGGAGTCCTCAGGTATTAATTGGGATGTCCTCGTTCACTCAAACGTCACTCTTAAACGACGTCTGTTAATGATGACATGTGCACAGCTGTATCCCCTCTCATCTGGCTTAACTGAATAACCCCTTAGAACCGGCCCATTTGTTGTTAAATATGTATTTAAATGAATGAATCTTTCTCTTGTTAGTCAAGGAATTCAATGTATACAGTTGGTCCTGCTTTTGTGTTCCGTTTTGGTGTAAAATGTACATTTCAATAAAATTATAATTATAATAATGTGAAAGCCTTTACTCTGAACATGTGTGTCCTGTAGATCCCCACATTCACCACAAACCCACATTCAGGACTGTGCATTTTAAATAATTTAACTACTCAATATTTTAACACAAAACAAAACAAATAATTGTTATTTATCAAGATCTAGCCATTTATGAAATAGCTTTCTTAATAGCTATGTTTTAGTGACGTTCAAGATCATTAAACATGACTTAAATTGTTAGTATAACCTTAAGAAATGAATTGCACATAATAATTCCCACGGAGCTGTGAGCACTTAGACATTTATGTGACGCTTTTCCACTCATTCTTCCAGTTCTCCGTTTTCCTCTCTTGAAATCGACCAGCTGTGAAGGTGGGGGCGGGGCTTGTATACGCGAGTAGTGAAAACACTTCCGCGTAGTCTGCTCTCGTGTATCCTCCCTTTCGTCTCCTCCTGCACCCCTCCTCCCTCACCCCTCCTCGACTCCTCGACTCCTCCACTCCTCCGTGTGCATTTCAGCTATTGGGACGTCCTTCAACATGGCGTGTCTTGATCGATTTCCGGGTCAAGTCCCGGAGGAGGGGAAGAGAGGAGTCGAGGAGGGGTATTGGGATGAGGCTTTGATGACATGAGAAAGGGCCATGGACTATTCGACCGCAACCTATGGTTGATACATGTCGTCTTCTTCTGTTTGCTTTAATCGAGGCTACGTAGTTATGCAGCGCCCCCATCGGCAGTAAATGGAAGTACTACAAAGAACCCCGTTTATTGCAGTTATTTCACACGTTTTGTTATATACACAGCTCTGAAATTATTACCGAGGTCCGGACCTCGGTGACCTCAATGGTGGATACGGCCCTGCGCACAGCCTGTACAGAAAAACTTGGTGTGAAATGATGCGTTACATAAGGGCAAATAAATACACAATATGTTCATCTGAAGTATGTGTTGACTAGAACTTAAAACATGAATGGTGCATTCACATAACAAAAGTAATACAACTGATATGTCAAATGAAACTGCTTATATATACACTCAGTAAACTATTGAAAATACATTTAAAATTGAAATGGAGAAGCAGCCCACAGCAACTAAACACTATTATGAAAAGTGGTGAAACAGCAGATACTGCAGTTGGTGTACGGTCAACAGCAGACCAAACACACGAGTGTTTCCATTGGCCGACCATGCACATCCCATCGGTCAAAGTTGAGCGGTGAATCACACCGAAACAGGAAACACTCATGAATTCACTCGCCCTTCAACAGAGGTGAAATCGAGATGGAGCCAAAACATACAGGACAACATTTTGGTTTGACCCTATGTTTGATGTGCTTCCCGGTTATTTATATTGTCAATGTTTTTAAGAAAACGAGTAGCATTCAAAAAAGATATGATGACCTGACGATAGCCTTATCGAGGGTCCGTGTCCCAGAAATGTGGTATCAGAACTCGCATTGGCCTTTTCCACAAGCAGCCATATTTGACTTCACTGCATCTTTTATTCTATTAGGTCAGTTTGTCAGTCTATGAAAATGTCCCTACCCTTCGCCACAGTTTATGCCCCAGGAGTCTGAAATGTGCCATGACGTGTGTGAGTGTGTTTGTGTTCATGTCAGTTGGCAAAAAGGGAGTGTGGCAGTGACAAGGGCCAATAACCAAAAGGGCACCAACTCCTAAATGGAGTCAGGTACCATGGCCGAACTCATGAACCGTCTATTGTAGACACTTGGGGATTTAATCATGGCCGCTACTGCAAATTTGCATTCTTTATTTAACCATGTGATTGCCTACAGTTATGAGCTTACATGTTGCATATTCCTTTATTAATTAGTCTTGAATTTAAATACACAAAGCTGGGACCAAGTCATATTCCGGTAAAGTATACGTTTACACACTGCACCAAGAGGAGCTGGGGGTTTAAAGGGGCCAGCCGCACAGATCTGACACAGCAGTTTTACCCATGCATTGATATGCTGTAAGTGCATAAACAGTATACTTTTCAATTAGACACTGAACACAATTTGGAATGTAATTAAGACTCAGCCTTTCATTTACTTATTTTTATGTTGAAAGAATAATTTACAAGTCCTCTTTTATTTGAATACTTAAAATAAGAGTGACCAACTAATAACCATGGACTTTTTTACTGCTTATAATTTCAAAGGCATTTTTACGTTTATGGGCATTTTAGAAAACTGTCACGTGCTTTTTTTCCCTCGAGTCACGGAGGATTTCTGAGCCTGTTGTTTTTGAACCACGTCACATCACATCAAGACCTGCGCACAGGAAGTGGGCACAAAGGGGAGTAAAATAGCTGCTCAGACGTAGAGATTATGTCTCTAGACTTTTTCTGCTTGGGCGCGTCCTTTTATTGTACTTCAGTGACAGCTCATTGTAATAATATAAAGGGGAGATATTTTTAAAAACAGGTGAGGAGGCCTTGAAGAGAACCAGTTGTCCGAGTAAACTGCAGCAGTACAGTTCAAGCAGAGCCTTATGACAAGGTACTTTATTTAAACTCACTTAGGAAAGAAAGACATCAGTGTAGTGGCTGCAAAGTTCATTAGGCAGTGACACTATTTCTTGGAAATCTCCAGGGTGCTTTATGTCGGAGGAATTGGGGGTCGAAGCTTAAAGTCGGTACTTCAACTTCGAGGAGGTCACCCTCTTAAACAGCCATGAATCACCGAAAATCAACACGCTCAGTCATTCCCACAAGAGCCTATTGTGGGAAAAGTACTTGGTGTGAACGCGCCTATTGACAGATACAGTATATAGTTCATGATGAATACTAAAAGTATTTAGTAAGGACTTGGAATACGGCCAGGTATACACATGATCTTTGCATCAGTATCACACACCCTACAAATGACATGAACATTTGGGGCTCTAAGGTTGGCTGGTTATTAACTGGATACTGTTGTCCCTGAATGCACCACACCACAGAATAACAGGAGCAAAAAGGCAGTGATAAAACAGGCAAACTGGAGGAACCAAAAGTATATATCCACTTGGAGTTGTTTGTTTTTTAGAAAGGGTTATTCTGACTCATTTGCTACATCCCACCATGACCTACTCTGTATATTGCGTGTGTTAGCTGGAGACTGATGCTGTTTTTGTGCTGTGGCGCAACAGCATAAATCAATAATGAAACATAAAAACAAGTGTGTGCGCATATGGTCGAAGGCCTGAGGCAGAGAAGGGCCTTTAAATATCAAAGGAGGAGCCTGTTGTCAGACAACCTGTGAACTTTAACCTTTATCTCTGACAGCAATGGAGAAGGGGGGGGGGGGGTTCTCATCTGACAACGGAGCATGCAGTTTCTTAATGTGATTATGTAAGAGTAAACCAATTATTGTAGGCATACAGGACAAATATAGGTATGATGTGCGTAAGAGGCTAGCAGTGTACCCTTTATGCGCCAGGTAGAGGTATAAAATACTCCTTTCAAATGTATTTTATATTGAATGCTTTAATTCAATCAAAAATGCCACACTTGATACATCACATACAGAAATCAACCTATGTTTGAAAGAAAATATATATAACGCCTGAATTTAAAATATACAAAGAAATCTATAAGCCTCTAGTAGAGTAACAGGTGATGACCGGTGGTTTATTTGGATACAAAGGTGCTTCCCTGTGTACGGCCACTGTAATAGTTCCAGTGGCATTATATGATATTTTGTAATAAGAGGGCAAAGCCAGCTCCAAATCTCTTTCTTTCACAAAAGGTGGGAAAAATAACATAAAAGACTTATGGCTGTATGTTGAGCACGATATTGTGGAAGCTTACTCAAAAACATACACTTCCGTGTCATCCTCACATCTGTTATTCACTCGTCGTACTGTTGTCTGTTCGGCACGCTGTCACACAGATGTCTGTCTGTAGTTTTTGGTGTCCAAAACTTTCTTTCCACACATTGCACAGATTCCTGGAGTGGCAAAAAAGGAAGCAAGCATAAGAAAAGCAATTAAAAATAAGAATTAATAAATGTATAGACAGAAAATAAAAGCAAGATCAGGAGAAGGGGCGGCACGTTGTGAATACATAATTGACATAAAATCAGTGTAGTTAGTTGTCATGTAGAACTTGTTAGCAAATCAGGCAGACACAGTACAGTATGTGCACCTGATCAATATCAATCCAAGATTCATTCTCATTTCACTCTGATTTTGGTCACCACCAACTCCCGCAGGGATATCATTTGCCTCTTTCGCTGCTTGTTGCTTAGATTGTCAATTTTACATTTAGTAATAGGCATGTAGTGTACAAGCTGTTAAGAATGAAGTCAACATGTTTACATTAAACAAACAAACCCCCCAGCTGTTTGAAAGGCACACACTACCTGTACCTGCCTAATCCCAAATACCCTGTTAGGTTGCAATTTGAACGTTTGTAGTGTTTTGGGAACCATCTGGTAACCTTTCTTTCAAGAAACAGTGTCCAAGTTATTCTAAATTATCCACATACTTCTTTGTCAATCATGTGTCTTGGAACTACTTCACACATAAAAAATAGTACCTGATCACAGGTGAGGTGTACGATCTACATTGCTTGATACATAAAGAGCTAAATATCAATCGTTATTCACAAGAAAGAACCACTAGCCTTTTTCAGACAATGCATGTTATCTATTAAACATCTGTCAAGTGAGTGAGTTTATTTTACCTTTCTTGTACGCACAGCCCTGGCAGTAGTGTGATCCATGCTGATGAACTGAGCTTCTGCAGATCCTGCAGGTTGCAAAACCCGTCTTGCTGTACGGGTCAAACCTGAGAGGGAGATGCATAATAGATACATAACTAGAGGTGCACCAATATGTGTTTGAGCCTAGATAGTGGCACTGGTTCAAGGTACAAATGTGGTCCATAAAACCGACATTGTGTGGCTTAACAACCAAAATGATGGACTTTTTGCAAACTACTCACCTGGCTTTCTTGGAAGTAAGGATCTTGTTTTCATTGAGCTTTCGCCCACCACCCTCTAAGTGAAAGAAGCAGAAGGACCCAAATTAACATCATCATCTAAATAACAGTAAATAGAAGTTAAAACCACAACTTCTAAATAAGTTAAGTAAAACAAATACTAAAATATATATATATATATATATATATATATATATATATATACATTAAAAAAAGAAGAAAAGAAAATGTCAATAACGTTGATCGGAATGAAAAAAGAGGGTTCAAGTTTGTTTCTATAATAAAGTAGTTATTTTCAAAAAGACATTTGAAAGCAAAAATTGATTAAGGATAACATTTAGTTTAATCTCAAAAATAAAACAAAGAAGGCACTACTTGCTATATATTATGTAAAGTCATAAAGCTAGCAAGATACAACCTTAAATTGGACAAGTTAGATGTAGTGGCTCTTTCTTGAAGGTTTTATTTTTGTTGAGCTAAAGTATTGAGTAAGACAGTATTTAAATATTGAATAAATGGTTTCTCCGACTTTTGAAGCCTGTTTTTTTAAGAAGGAATATGTAGCTTTTTGTCACTCCGTCATTTTGTGTGTTTATGACCCCCAACGTAGCCATACATATTAACTATGCACAGTAGTAATAGTAAAGAGACAAACAACATTTCCCAAGAATCCGTGTCCTCAACTTACCTGTTGTATTCCGTGCTCCGTCCTTCCAGGTGTCAGGTGTGATCACTTTACCGAGCTTCGTCTCGCCTGTAATATTAAGAAACAAACAATTTAAAGAAATAACTCTCAAGTGTAAGGGACAGTTAACCAATATAATGACGAGGAAATGCATCATAACAGTTAGCTAGCAGTCACATAGCATTAGCTCTTGAAGAACCTCAAGCCTTCGCTTACGGCAAATATACAAGTTATTTTAGATTAAAAGCATCCAATATGGGTGATACGTACACTTGTCACAAACCATTTTCCTTTATGTATGTTTCAAGCAGATACTTATCGTCAAAGGTTGGGGAAAACCGAATAAAAGTGTTAGCTCAGTTTTTGTTTGGCAAAAACATGTAAACTTCCGGTCGTTTCTACCTCTTTCCCGTATATTCAACATATTGATTGGTCAACGCTGTGCCCATCTCACATGTCATTGGCTGATACTCCCTTCCGTCACAGAGGGTCGCTGCCCCCTCTCCGATTGTTAAGGTGGTGGTTTTCTTCAAAATAAAAGTCCACTAAAATAGGAAATTGCCCTTGAACGAATAAGATCCTTGATTGATGCTAATGTATTGGATATTATCTCAAATGTAAAACCTAGAGAAGACTGTGCAACAATCTCCCATACATTCTACAGCCAATGTGTTCACCTGTGTAGATATATTTGACATATTATTATATTCTAACAAACACTTGATTTCATTAGGAAACATACTTTTAATTGGCCCTTAGGAAAATCTGACTATTTTTCATCTGCTCTTTAATTTTACTTACACAAAACATCAGATGCATATTGACACAGCAAATGATCCACACGAAACAGAGATTTTTTTCAAAAAATAAATTGAGTAATATTCATGGGAAAATATCACATACATGATACAGCAATATGGTCAGCTTTCTAATATTAGATTTTTAATTTTTTTTATTTCAGAGATCATCCAGAATCATTAAGACGATCTCTGAAACTCTCAGCATGCATTTCTCAAGTGTTAAGTCTAAATTACTTAATGACACAACTAAATGAAAAAAGGTAGAGGTTAGGAGAGGGCAATATAATACTTTAACAAGCATGCAGTATATCCAATACATTTAAATGGTGCATTCTAACCATATTTAAATAAAACAGTATTCTCTTTTGTATTGTTTCTTTCAGTTGTTATCTTTTTCTTTTTGCGCTGGATACTGTTGGACTTTTATTGTGAAGTCGGAGCGGAAGTAACTCCATGTTTACGGAAGACAGGTCAAATAATTCACCCATGGATTTAACCTACTCAGTAAACCCGTTGCTAAATTGACATTTTAAAGTATTTTTTATTTGAATGTTGTCTCTTGTCTAGGTCTCTTGTTGTAGGTAGTTACATTTGTCGTCATGTGGGACCATGAAATCAGAGCCATGGCGTCGACGCACGCTATCCTCGCCGCCTCGGTGTTCATGGCCACCGTGCTACCTGCGGCGGCAGTGCCGGGCTTCTCGGTGTACGGGACTCACCTGCTGTGGCTCTACTCGGTGTCCGGGGCCGTGACCGCTGTCAGTGTGGCCGTCTTCTGGCTGCTGGGTATCACACCGCCCGCCAAGAAGCACACCGTGGGATACAAGGTGCTCACTTACTGTAATGGTGACTGTTGAGTTTAAGAAGGGGTGGAAGAAGTATTGAGATTATTAATTTATGTAAAAGTAGCAATACTACAGTCAGAGGTGGGAAGTAACTAAGTACATGTACTCAAGTGCTGTAGTTAAATAACATGTTGATATACTTGTACTTTACCTGAGTATTTCTCCATTTTATGCTACTTTGTACCTATTCCCCACTTCAATTCAGAGGTAAAAAGTGTACTTTTACTCCACTACATTTATTTAATACCTTTAGTTACTTTACACATTTGGATTAATAATATGAAATATAAACAACACTTAAAAAGCACTTTAGTTACATCTGGAGTAAACCTTGCAGTATACAAAGTGATTACAACTAGCTGCACTTTTACCATCTGTGATAACACTTTAATAGATCAATAATTATAATCAAAACACATGATATATTATTCTGAAATGGGCCAATTTGCTTAATAAGCACCTTTTACTTTTGGAACTTTAAGTATATGTTGATGCTAATACTCTTGTACTTTTACTTGAGTAACATGTTATATACAGGACTTTACTTTCAATTCACTCTGGTACTTCTACTTTTTTTAGGTACAAGATCTGAGTACTTCTTCCACCTCTGACTACACTATAAAAATACTCTGTCTGTGTTTGGAGATGATATTATTTCAAGATAAGTAGGTTGTTATTAAGTTTGTCATTATTTTTGGGATGCTATGCTATCATTTTGATATACATATTCATTATTTCAAGAAGGTTTGGCATTGTAATGACTTGCAGGATCCTTTTTCATCACCAGGCTAAGTTTCCATTTTACTGATGTAAATGGGCTTCTTTAGATATATGATCATATATTGAATACTTGGGTATCAACGGTAATGTTTACTCGTTAAACTTGATGATATTTTCCCCTTAACTCTGCTTATTCATTTCTTTCTGCAGCTCTCTCGGTTGTTTCGTTCCTGTCTGTACTTCTTCCTGTCGTGCCTGTTCTTCCACACTGTGGTGGTTCTCTATGGAGCTCCACTGATTGAGTGAGTACTGCTGATTCTCCTGTGCTATATCTGTGTGTATTAAGACATACAAAGGGCAGCAAAGGAGGACTTGTTGCTGGCTGCTGATTTTAGAGAGCACCATAGCAAGCAATCCATTCACACCTATTGCCTAATGGTCAAATAAGTGAATAAATGCAGCTTTTACTGAGTATTCCTTGCACATCACAAGATCATTTTCATGACACGCTACAGATTTCTATTTGATCTCTGTAGGCTTTACCCTGTCATCATTCACTCCTATGAAATCCTGTTCTCTTTACTTTGCTGCATCAACACAGGTTGTGTGTGTATCACTTAAACTCTGCTGCCTAGTTGCAGCCGCCACTGATACTGTGAACTTTCTCCTCCATGTTTCAGATCCGCCTTGGAGACGTTCTCCCTCTCTGTGCTGCTGACCTCTCTCACCACTCTGAGGTGTCTCTGTGTCCTCGGCCCCAACGTCCAGGCCTGGATACGAGTGTTCAGCCGGCATGGGTCAGCCAAAAAATCTGCTTTTCCCTGATACCTGTCCTTCAATTATATGTTGATGAATCGTGTTTAATGTGCTAATCTTGTCTCTCTTTACGAATATTCTAACATAGATTTGCTCTGTCTCCGTCTCCAGGGCTATGTCTGTGTGGGACACCTGTCTACAGATCACAGTGGCCTGCACACTGGTAGGAGCCTGGGTGGGAGCCTTTCCTATTCCTCTGGACTGGGACAGGCCCTGGCAGGTCAGCACACGGGAGAGTTACTCTTATAAACAGAATGCATACTGTGGGATTATTATCTTAATATTAGATTCACCAAAATTGTTCACAAAATTACAGTAAATCTAGAATTGGAATCAGGTTTAATTACAAATAGGTTTACACATACAAGGAATTTGCTTTGGTGTATACATAAACATAGTTGGAGGAATAAGGTTTTAAAAAGGGAAAACATATAGAATTATTATACCTTTTTTTTTACATGAAACAATTAGACAAAGTGTTCAAATGAAGTATACATCTACACAAAAAATACCCAAAGTAAGTACAACAAGAATCTGAAATAAATACTCGGAACAATAAAATATGTGCAGTAAAGCAAAATTGGAAGTTGCAGTTTTAAGAAATGTTCAAAAATAAACAGGAATGTGCGAGTACAGTATTTTGTTTGAGGAATGGCTCCCTTGATATTTCTCAATGTAATGCAGTGATTTCATTAGCATAATCACTGCCCTGAAATATATATGAGCCCATATGAGGCTGCCTGATCTGCTGTGTCTGTGGAGAAGATTGATTGAATAAAGGGAACATTTTCATAGACAAAAAGAGATGTCAGTAAGTAGATAAATAGTGCAACTGTCAAGGCTGTACTGTGGCAGAAATACAGATGGAATTATCTCTTTTTTTAAAGAAACATATATTAAATAAGAGAATAGTATATCTCAGATTTAGGCATTATGATTTCAGTAGGGACCCCTAGGAGCAGTCAGAAGGTAAGATGAGATCATTAACAGGAGAAGAAAGCAGAACAACAATTTCCTTCATGCTTCTAATTGGATTCAATTGGTACATTCAGACATCACTGTTTGATTAACCTGGCCGTGACCTGTAGACAGATGACATTTGGCAAGTAGACATAGCTTTTAAGAATTCATAACAACAGGGAATTTACAAAATGATTAAAGCTTGACCCTGATGTTGAATTGCTGCAACTAGTGCATCTTTTTTTAATTCCTCTAGCATACAGCATAGGTTTCTCTGTTAACAAAAAAGCCTTCCATTCATCATTGATTAGCAGTGAATAGAATCTCGTAGAGCTGAAATATCATTCTGAAATGTAATTCAAACCGGTTACCATACCTAACTCAATTTCCTTTTTTAAATAACAAAAAGGAAGACGATTATAACTATAATTGCAAAGGGAGCTCTCTGCAGAATGACTGGAGGAAAATGCAAATGGGAGGCAGACGGTGGTAATTGGAGCATAACTCTGAATGGCACCACTGTACCGCCGGGGTTTCATTTGACTTTAAAAGTTTCTCTTTGAGGGAGACGAGCTTCTGGGGAGAGAGGATAAATTGATCTAATAGTTAAGCTCCTTTTGATCTATCAGTGCAATGATCTGACTCGCCCCTCTTCTCTTAGGCGTGGCCTGTTTCCTGCAGTCTTGGCGCCACCATCGGCTTCCTCACCGGGCTTGTTGCCGCTCCAGCCTGGATCCACTTTCACCGCAAACAGCTCACTTACAAGTGCAAGTGAGGGGCCGACATACGTGTGTGTGACCATGAGGGCATCCCTCGTATTCCTGCTGTATTCCTTTTACCTTGTACTGATTATTTATTGGGAACATTGTCTCCGTTTGCTGCCTGTTGACAAGATGATTTGCAATAACACAACACGGTATGAGCATCATTATTTTGTACCCATGAAAGCTGATAAAGTTCCTGAAGAGTTTTGACATGAATTGAAGTTTTGGAATAAAAGATAAGGAGTCTATGACTAATAAAGGTCCTTTTTATTGGATTGATGCATCTTAAAGTGTGTGTGTGTGTGTGTGTGTGTGTGTGTGTGTGTGTGTGTGTGTGTGTGTGTGTGTGTGTGTGTGTGTGTGTGTGTGTGTGTGTGTGTGTGTGTGTGTGTGTGTGTGTGTGTGTGTGTGTGTGTGTGTGTGGTGTGTGTGTGTGTGTGTGTGTGTGTGTGTGTGTGTGTGTGTGTGTGTGTGTGTGTGTGTGTGTGTGTGTGTGTGTGTGTGTGTGTGTGTGTGTGTGTGTGTGTGTGTGTGTGTGTGTGTGTTCTCTTTTAAACAACCATTAATCTTGCTCCGACTCTATTTAAACTCGCCCTCCTCCCTCTCCTGCTCTTGCTCTCATTCCAGCTTTTCACATCCTCGGGCCCCCATATTGATTCACTTCCATTTTAGGGACATTAATTTCCCTCCTTTCATGCCACCCACATCTCTTGTTCTCCCCTCGCAGCACAATGAAACTTACATTTTCTGCAATGCGGTGTCAAATTGTAAAGCAAATGAGGGATATTGAGGGACAGTGTAGATATGTGTAATGCACATTTAGTGCAAGGAGGGGAATAAAAGGACATTTCAGTCGTCATGTTGTAGTGTGAGTTGAATTGGTAGACAGTTTCAGCACAGAGCCCGGGGCAGAGCCGTTTGCCCGGTGTTTGAACTCTTGCATAAGGTAGTTGCCAGGGAAAAGAGGCGAAAAATAGCCTGAAGCAAAAAGAGCGAAAAGATACATTTTCAGAAGTCATAAATGATGGAGTAACATTTATACCCATATGATACCATTCACCCTCTTTATTTCCATCCATCTTTCTGATTAAATTCAATTTACCTCATGCTGTTACCTCCATTTCCCTTTTTCTCTTTTATTTATTTGTATTTCCTACACCTTCTGATACATTATTCTCCCTAGCAGCAAAGGGTGTGATTAACCGATTTCACCTCCAACCTAGTTTTGAGCGTGTCACCACACTGGGCATGTCACATCTGGTGGTTTCTGGAGTGTCTCGTTTTTTGCCCCTGATTGTGGTCTTGTACGTAAACGGTGTACTTTGGGGACTGGATGGAGTTGTTTTGTTCATAAGCTCAATTAAACTCTTACTCCTTTCATCTCAGAGACAAGGAGACGCACATAAAAGCTACTGCTTCACAAGATACTCTTACCTACTTCAATCTCAGAGAGCCCTATGTATTCATTGTTTGTTCTCAGGCTTTGCTAGAGGCCATTTTTCACTCCCTGCACCTCCTATCTCCCCAGCCTTTCCTCCGAGGCAGATGTTGTGGGCATGTTTCTGCAGAGTTGTGTATTCTGAATTAAGATGCAGCCTCTGCTCTCTGTGGCAGATTGTACCCAAATTAAACCCGGCTGAATCAATATGTTTTTAGTCTAGCATAGAATCAAATGAGAGAAATAGATTGCTCAGGCTGCAGGGAACACATATAATTAACACCCAGCTCTGCAGCATTTTACCAATAGTCTTGGAACTCTTATTATTGTCGGTTTGAGGGTTGTTTTCAACAAGCAAGTTCTTATTGACACTACACTACTCACACCAAACAGAATAATGAACAATATAAAACAGCTTACAGGCTAGATGTTTCTTGTTGGAGAAACATGTTGCTCTGTGTGGAAATAGTCTGACAACACTTTCTGCCCCCTGGTGGCCACAAATACAGTGATGCAGCTTTAAAAATGAGGGGTAAAGTCATTAACCTGATGCAATCTTATTACAATTTAGGTTTGTTGGTACAGTGCAGCCTCACAGATGTCAGATCAAATAAAAAAAAAAGCCAATTTTCAGACACATAGCTTTCAAAATGTTCCTCACTGACGCGAGAAAAAAGCAAAGGGAAGCCAAAGTGCAAATAAATAAATACTGAGAGGTAGAACACATCCGTCCATATCTATAACCATCTCGTCCTCTTGATGAGGAAACACTCCAGTCCCTGTGTTGTTATACAATATAAAACTATATGATATGAAATATATATAGTACAAGTTGTTGGCAGAATACAAACTGCAGAACTGTGACGTTCTCAACATAACTGAATAATCTTCCCAACAAGAGTTACTGTTTTCTATTTTTATATATTTAAAACAACTGGACATCTTCTGGTTTTGATCCTCTTTAAATCAGACATCAAGCTATATTAAAAGTGCTGAATGCGAGACGTACATTTCACCAAGAAAAGAAAAGCCATCAGAATAATTTGAAAGCTGGAACAATTATACAAATACTGTCTTTAATTCAGGTTTTAGAAGAATGCATTAGAGTGACAAGGTAAAACAGGATAGACAGGTCCTCATGATACTGCTGAGGAGAAAGAGAGTAGACAGATTACATTTTCAATTTTCACCACATAAGTCACACCCCTCCTCCACATAACTACCTTCTCCTCACACTCTTCCCCTTCCCCCATATCTCACACCCAACTCGTTTCCTGTGTCACTCCTTTTCCCCCGTGTCCTGTGTTCACCCCCCCATGGTTCGTGCTTCATTAACAGTCACAGTGTTATTGAGTGGTAAACATGTTATTGCAGAGCTCTCGGGCCCTCCTGTCAGTTCTCAGAGCCACAACAAAGGGTCCATTGTGACTGAGAGATGCTCAAGTGGGCTCATGACGCACAAGGTATAGGGGGAGACAGACGGGTCGAATTATAGAATTCTGACCTTTGGTTCCTTAAAGAAAAGCAGGTATTATCAAACCAACATAATATGTGCATTTCAAAAAGTGTGCACATAATGGATATGCTTTTGAACAGTGGGAGGATAGCGAATGAATACAAGATGTGAAAGGAACAACAAAGCCGGGGATCCCTTGTTAATAAAATATATTACAGACAGGTTTTTCTCAAATTGGACTTTTAATCTTCTCATATGATTTACACTCTGACTCTCCGAGGGTCACTAAATAAATACATTTAAGTGATAGCATTTTTTAGACACCCTTTATACCCAACTATCTGATGGATTGCCATAACATTTTATTCAGACATTTGTATTTCCCATAGGATTGATTCTACTGACACCGGTGATTCCTTAAATGTTTTACCTAAGCGCCATTAGTACAATTTCAAACCCCACTGCAGTCAGCATGTCGTTGTGTCCCTGGGCAAGACACTTCACCCCAAATTGCTCCTGTGGGGATTGTCCACAGTATTGAGTATGTAAGTCGCTTTGGATAAAAGCGTCTAACAAGTAACATGTAATGTCATCTAATATTGCCCGTAGTGTGAATTGTGAACATTCTGGTTTGTTCCATGTCCAAATTCCTACAAAATGAACGATAATCCCATTAGCAGCAATTTCATGTTAAGATGAACAAACCCTAAATCTAGGATGATGGTATACTTTTAACCTTTAATCATGGAAATCTTGTTAACCCCAGATACCTGCACCTCTTCAGGCGTTTTACAATTGTATTCAACTTCACTCATTGCAAATTTAGTATAGAGCATCATTTTGTACGAAACACTAACCATTACTTGCTCACTCTCCTCCATCCTCGCTTTGTAGGATAGGGTGTTTTAGAGCAAGTCACTTTTCAAATTACGCATTTATGTAATGAATTATTAACAGTACTCATTATTTCCCTACAGAAGGTCAAATTATTCTTTGTTAAATCAGAGCTGCCATCAATTATCCATTATAAGGTTTTCCTCACAGTGTGACATATTGATGCCATGACAACGTGGAGTCAAATCATACTGACAAATGACTGCGCCATATCATAATTAACAAAATTCCTACAAGGCAAAACTTGTACTCTTGCATAGATTTATATACAAAGGTTTTGAAGCCCTTAAAAAGAAAGAAAGCAAGAGCTGATACAATGGTAACATCCAGCCCCCCCCCCCCCCTGCGTCGTAATGACTGGAATGTATAGCATGCCACATGTACATGATTGTGCTACCTGCATGTGTTTCATACTTTATGATTGCAAAAGTGCTGCATCTCTCCAGGAGGTCTGTACCAATCAGTTATATCTGGCGAGGCCACTTCGGAGGTCGTCATGTGACCCTGCCCCATGAGAGAGCAATCAATACACACTTAGAAACACACACATACAGTATCAAGTAGTTCCAAACCAACTGACCACAGCATTATAACTATAGTGATAAGGCTTTACGTCGAATACATCAAACTTTGTGTCAGAAAAATCTCACCCGATACTGGCTTGAGTTTCAAAATCAGGATACATGTATTTATTATCCTTGCAAGAATGCAAGTAGTCATCAGACACGAGATATGGTAGACTAGTTTCCTGATATAATAATATATAATAATAAAGGTCCATCTTCTTCTTCTTCTGATCAGTGTCCTTCACTTGCTTATATACTAGAGAGGGCATTTCACAGTCACAAGATGGAGAAATACTGGTTCAAAGCAGTATTCTAGGTTTTTTTTAGCACCTTGAAATAAAAAGATTTCAAATATCCTCAGCCGGATGCATCTGAAATCTAAAATGATATCATATATTGTGACTCAAAAGTTGAAATCTTTAGAAATGGGATCAAATTGAATCCTAAAAGCAGTGTGGTAAAAGAAAGTAAGGCCAACCATTTAAAGATATTTTTGAGCTTGGCCTTTTTAAAAGAAATGACAAAAGCATTTAGAATACAAGTTGATTGCAGTATTACTACACTTGGGCAAAACTGTATAAACGTATGTCAAGGGGTAAATATCTGTTCAAATATTTCAGATTTGACATACATTTCAAAGAAATAAACTATAGGGAAAACATTATCTATGTGTAATGCACTGATAAAAGTCATATTTTTGAAAGAAGACGTATAGTACATAATTTGCATATTTATTTAATTACAAAAATAAATGAAATAGATAATTTTATATTTATATATATAAAATATATATACTTCTGCATACTGATTGTGTTAACTTTCAGTGTTTTAAGAACATTTTGAATGTAATACTTTTGTACTTTGAAATTAAGATTTTTTATTTGATTTCACTCCAAATCCAATTTTTCTCCGGATGTTCTCGGAGTTCTGGATGAGTCGTCAATAATATTTTTAAGTTTAATAGATGGTTTATGTTATTTAACATATATACAAAGAGATGATGAATAACACAGTGACACAGGATTATAAATTGGAAAAAATATATTTAATTTCACTGCATGTCTTAAAGGGGACCTATCATGCAAAATGCACTTTTGTACGTCTTTTATACATGAATATGTGTCCCCGGTGTTCCAGGGAACTCACCAAGTGTCAGAAAACACAACCCTCTCTATTTTCCTCCATACCCAAATCTCTAAAAAAGGGGCTGCAACGGATCTGATAAAAACTGATCCAGATTTGAACACTGTCCTGACGTCAGGACGGTGGCGCTACGGCTATTGGGCCAACTCTCCACCAATCAGGAGGAGACAACCACGGCATTGCCGTTCGAAAGCGCTGGAGACGTTGTAGTACATATGCCAGGCCAGTAGGTGGTGCTGTTCTCACAGAATCAGCCCTTGCTAAAACAGAGCTAAAAAATGTCAAATTGAGCAAAATGAGGCATGGCTAAAATGCATGATCTGTTTGGTATTTTGAAAAAAAAAAGTATAAATATGCCTTATATAGGTATGGTCCTACACTATATTATTCAAATATAGCATGATAGGTCCACTTTAAGTAACCTGCGTCTTGTGGTAACATTTTATTGAAAGACCCAGTTCTTCTGCGAGAAGTATGTACTTTAGCCCGGTTAACTGACGTTTTGCCTGGAAATAATGACAAATAAAGTTGCTACAAAATGAACATACGTGAACAATGCAGAGCTATGCCATCAGTGTTTAAGCAGCTTAATGCGTGGCTGTCAGTCTGAAACAGCCTCCCTCTGACATCACACCAGAGCCCACACACGTAAATACTGCATGCATCGAGCCAAATGAGCAGCAGCTATGTAACAGACGGGGTGACTCCATCATGCTTGCTCTCTCTTGCACACAGATGCTTATCAATGCTCAACCACACGCCTATTTAAAGATGCAAGAGTAGAAACATCTTAACATCTTTGTTTATCTTTTGGCATTTGTAAGAAGCTCTTATAGATGTCCGTGCATCTTGCCCTCTATTGGCAACACGTCTGATACAGTGAGTGCTGTTTCAGTGACAGACAAATAGGAAAAAAGAAGCATGTTTTACATTTGATTCCCTTTAAAATTTATTAACTTAGACATTTGTTTTTACAAAGAAAATGGACATTATTATTGTTTTAATTGAGGGGTGATGTTTTAATTACAGTCCCAAGAGGTTTTATGGCAAGGCAGATGGGAACACTGGGAATGTTGGCTCGATGAACTGCGAGGTGTTAGAGGTGTTGTAGAAAGATCTGGGGGTTTTGTGTTGATCACTTTTTGTTGGGCTGGGCTGCGAAGTAAAGAGCCACCAGGCAGTAGAGGGTCCCTCCGATGGTGAGGGCCATGGTGGTGCGGTACAGTAGCCTGTCAGGGACGCCCCGCTTCAAATGAATGGGGACACCGTCCGGTATCTGGGAGAGGGAAAAAAGGAAGGAAATGTGAGAAAAAACAATAATGAAGGTGTTACAGAGAGTACAGAGTGTTCTCAACAATTTGTCTGGGGAGATAGGTCTTGACATTTTCTAATGATTTCTGAACACATATTTCCTAAAACTATTTATCCGTCTCATTCATAACAGACCAAAAACACCCAGAGTGCTTTTTTGTCCCTGAATAAGGAAAGGAACAAACACAGTAAAAAAAAGGTTTTCTTCAAAGGGCAATTTGCTTTGTATACAATAGTTTCCAAACATATTTCCTGTTAGTATCTGTCTGAAAAACCTTCACTTTCAATAAGAAAAAGTCCTTTCAGCAGACATCACTCTGATTTTCCATTTATTTCCATTTGTTTTAGTCTGCCCCACTTTCAAAGTATTCCGCTCACTGCCTACTGTGATGAAAAGGCAGGGGGCCATTACGAACAGAGTGAAATAATTACCACCCAGCGCCTAGAGCTAAAATATATCCCGTGCTTTGACTAAAGTTTGACCACTTTGGCAGTTCTTGAACTTTAATTCTGAGGACTACTTTGAATGAACAAATGCTGATTCACCGTGAAAACCGTACCAGCGTCAGGTAGGAACCCATCAACCTCTCGTCGTGACTAAGACTCTTTCAGTTTCCTGTTCTTATTTACCTGGAATAGTTTCTGCAGGTCAGGAACCCGGTTTGTTACGGTGTACTCCACGGTCTTAGCCTCCGACACCATTTTGGTGGGGGAGGCGAAGATCATGGGTGGGGCTTCTGCTGGCACACCTGGCCTCAGCCCCTAAACAACAACAACAACAACAGAGTGGTCACAATAATGCACAATTCTACTTAACCTTATTCAATGAAAGCACCCTTTTTCCCCAATTGTTTCTAAGCAGAAATATTACTTTTATTCGTGGCAGACATCGGAAATAATGAAGATATTCCGGGAAAGGGTCACTTAAAATGAATTAAAAAACATTAAGGGTGTAAATTACAAAACAGTATATCTATTTGTTGGACAATGATACAATATTTCAGATTTTTCATGATATTGTTTTGATTTTAATTTAATTGAGGGGCATATCGACAACTTAAGATGATAAAAATAAGAATTACAAAATAAAATTGGGATCTTTAAGATGATCATATGCATCAGTGTTTTTACTTTAACTTTTCCTTAGTCCTATTGCATCATTGGTCATTGAATCCATATAAATCGCTCCAGATCAATGCACTTTTAAAATAAATATGTATTAAAACATATTTTTTAGGGGTGTAATCATTTTCTGTTTTACCGATTTGACATAACAGAAAAGAGCTTTGAAAGTAAAATCAAAACAACTCTTTTCAGATCTTTAGTACAACAAAGCTTAGTGCCGCCGCCAAAGTGATTAAATGAGAACGTGATTCATCTCAACTCACATCTTATTCCTCCACTTGTTAGAGACTTTAAGTGCCAGTTCAGATTATTAAAGAGCATCTCAAGTTGCTGTTCAACTTTACAAACTACAGTGCATTAACATCAAGGTTATTTTTGTCACATTAACACAATATTGCACATTTTATCAGCCTTTTTACTTACTACGAAAAACCAAATAAAGATCCATGTGATAATTGGTCACCCATAACTCTTAAAATTATGGCGCAGTGTGATTGACTTTGGGAAATGATCAGTTACATCATTAATTCATGCTGTTCCACTTTTCAGAGGCGCACTGTGGTGTTAATGAATTACAAGTGTGCCTCCCTATTATCCTCTCACTTGGAGGAAGCTGCTCACCCACCTTGTGTTTCAGAATTACTGGGAGAGCCGTTGCCTGGTCCGGGTGTGTGGAGGCAGATAGTGTGGGAGCAGGTGAATTAAATCTGACATATGAAAATGCAGAGGCACTAAAAGCTGATTATTTTTACATGCCATTTAAGAGAAGGCATAACTAAAAGTGTTCACAGCAGGGAATCGTGTTTTTGCCTTTTGTTTTTTAATAACCTCAGGATTTAGCCGTTATGGTAGTCAATGGCAGTTATTTGCAGCATTGTTCATTGGTTGGCAATGTTTTAAATGCATAATGTCGAAAGGCAGGCCTGCATGTCTAAAAGTTTTGTGTGTTTAATACATTTAAGAATAACACACATTTATAGAATGTTGTTCTAGGATTTTACCCAAGAGCAGATGTTGTCCCAGTAGTAACTTAGGGCTAGGACATGGTAACGCAGAAAACGATAACGGGTCCCAAGGTGGGTAGATCTGCAAACGAAACGCTCTGGGGGGGCAAACGGCTCCGTGTTTACGCCTATACGATCATTTCCTGATAAAGTTGAAGCAATAGCCCCGCCTCTCCCCACCTCTCCTGCTCAGAGATCAGCTGCTGGGCTGTCAGAAGAGGGGGAGGAAAAGAGAGGCTCCGTTTTTTATTCTTATATTATTATATAGAGTCGTTATTCATTTGTTTTAAAGCTCAATAAATAACAAAGAAGACATCTGACCGGCACTTTTCTAATTTTGTCCGGAAGATTTAAACTTTAACGGACATGTTGACCCGCGAAAAAAAATCGAACTGAAACTCTGCCACACGGTTCCCTCGTCCCTTGGAAGAGGCGGAGAGGTGGGTGTTTTTCATCTGCTGGTGGACTACCGGAGAGATTTACAGCCGGAGCAAACGCTTGCCTCGGGGAGGGAGAAAAAGAGCCAGAGCGTCCACAGCGGAGAATAAACAGAAGGGCAACCATGGCAACCATGCGCGGGAAGTCTTTTTCGCTGCTTTTGTGGCAGGAGTACAGCGCGACTTACAGGCCTGGCATATCTACTCCAGCGCTTTCGAGCGGTCTCGTGTGAACAGACACGTTTCTGGTGCCTGTTGCGTGTGGACGGAATACCTTTTTGATATCGATTTCGGTCCGTTTGCGTTATCGTCCTCGTGTGGCTCCAGCCTTAAGGCCTGGACACACCAAGCCGATTTTGGCCGTCGGTGGGCTAGTGAATTCATTAAAGTTGTCCGCACTCTCGCGGGAATATCTCCGCAATGGAGCGAGCTTAAGTTTCTTTCGATTGCATGATATAGCCCAGCGCAACACCTTCGTCACACATGTTGCCACTTGTTTGTACCATTTTCAGGCGATTTGTAATCTGTCCTAGAAAAACGATGTGTTTTTTAGGATTTCAAGAAGCGTATAAAACAAACAATGGGTGTGTTTGATGAACATTTATCCCTGCTGAAAGTAGATTTAGATGTGTTAGGAGTGAGATAGAGATTATTATCTAAATATATGCATCCGATGAAGCATTGTATGAAGTCTGTTGATGATCAGAGGCTGTTGTTGGGGCTGCATAAACGTTTTTTTATTTTTGTTTTGTAGGCAGACCATGCAGGCCTCAGAGTTAAACTTGGGCCTGCGACCATAGTTTTACTGTATTTTATTTTGAAAATCCACAGCGGAGGTTTGTGTCGTACTATGCGGTGTATTTTGCATATCTCTCAGTAGCCAACGATCTGAGAGTCTGTTGGCTCGGACATAAACTCCGTAATAAATGTAGTCTACATTTCATAAGAGGGGTAAAACCTGAGAGCATTTCAAATCGCATTTGAACTAAATGCTTATATAATCTGTAGTTGTATTTGTATTGTTGATTTAATGTGTGAACGAGGCGATATAGAGAAGGTTAAGCTGTCGTTATTAGGCTGTAATTTGTTATATACTGTTGGAATGGTAAGCAGGCCTATAGAGAGGCGAAGTCCCTCCCTTTTTATTGGTTAAGTGGTCCTTGGTATGAAAAAGTTTGAGAAACACTGCGCTAGTGGATTGTCAAAGGGGGAGCCTCGTTGCGGGGAAATTATACAAATGGCTAGTCCGCCCCTGAAAAGTATCTATGCACACGTTATTATTAATAACAAAAAAAATTGATAAAAAGAAATTATTAATTTTTTTTTATTTTCCATTTTAATTTTGTAATCATCTCGCAACCCCCACTCGGGGGCTCGCGACACATGGCCAAAACGCAGAGACGCGAGGCGATGCAACAGTCGGGGTCCGTCTGTGTCAGTTCTTTGGTGTCAGCTTGGTGTGTCCGGGCCTTTAGACTTAGGCCTAGGCTCCACGGTGACGAAAACGGGTTGAATCCGCATATTTCTCATGCGTATAGCCCTTTAAGCTCGACGACGCCGTAACGGAAACGTAGAAACAGACCTCGCAAACGACAACGGGTCCAAAGGTGGATAGATCTGGGAACGGAGCGCTCTGGGGGGGTCCAACGGGGCCGTGGGGTCGCCTATACGGTCATCCGTTTCATAGCCCCGCCTCTCCCCGCCTCTCCCCACCTCTTCCCACCTCTCCGCGTACCCCGCATCATTGCTGATGTGTTTCGTTAACAACAACAATGGCGGATCGCAGGGTTGCACCATTATTGTGGGTTGTGATAATGACGACTCAATAGCCCCGCCTCTCCCCACCTCTGCTGCTCACCCCCGCAAAAGTACACTGCACACTGAATTCAGATTATTTATCTTTATCTCGATATGTACATAAACGCGAGTGAAGTCTAATCTGACAGGACGGAGACACGCAGCTCCTCCGGCTGTGATGCAGCGGGAGCAAAACACACACTTCAAGTCAGATCACCACCCTTAGCTATTTTAATTACCTCTCAAACTACCTAAACTAGTTATAAATATGTTTATTTTTACTGTCGGGTTTACTTACTGGATCAGCTGCTGCATGAGGAAGCATGAAGATTTAAACTTTAACACACATTGACCGGCGAAAAACTCTGCGCGGTTCCCTCGGCCCCCACTGCGGAGAATAAAGAGAAGTGCAGCCATGACAACCATTCTTCTTCGCTGCTTTTGTGGAGGAAGTTGCTGCTTTTTGTGGAGGAAGTTACAGCGCCACGTACAGGTTCGGCATATGTACTGCAGCTTTTCCAGCGTTTGGATGTAAACGGAGCCGTCTCGTGGAGCTTGACACAATCCGGTGTATATTGCGTGTGGGCGGAAGGTTTTTTGCGGTTGCGTTTGCGTTACTCCGATGCGTTTTGCCGTATGGGTTCCCGTGGAGCCGGGGCCACAGGCTCTGTTAGGTAGTTGTATTGCCTCTTTGTGACACCTAAGGCATCCGAATATAAATAAACTGGTGTCACATATAAACACATGCTAATGAACTAACATCCTTTGGCACCAACAAAGGCATTATAGCCTGTTGTGAATAAGGAAAAAACTCATTCTTAGGCCCCGGCTCCACGAGGACAAATACGGCAAAACGCATCGGAGTAACGCAAATGCAACCGCAAAAAACCTTCCGTCCCCACGCAATATACACCGGATTGTGTCAAGCTCCACGAGACGGCTCCGTTTACATCCAAACGCTGGAAAAGCTGCAGTACATATGCCGAACCTGTACGTGGCGCTGTAACTTCCTCCACAAAAGCAGCAACTTCCTCCACAAAAGCAGCGAAGAAGAATGGTTGTCATGGCTGCACTTCTGTGTATTCTCCGCGGTGGGGGCCGACAGAACCGGGCAGAGTTTTTCGCCGGTCAGCGTGTGTTAAGTTTAAATCTTCCGGACAAAATTATAAAAGTGCCGGTCAAAGGTCTTCATTGTTATTTATTGAGCTTTAAAACAAATGAATAACGACGATATAATGATATGTAATCATCAAATACACGGAGCCTGTCTCTTTTTCCTCTCTTCTGACAGCGTCAGTGTCTGTCTCATGCAGCAGCTGATCCTGTAATGAGTGACCCGACAGTAAAAATGAACATATTTATAACTAGTTTAGGTAGTTTGAGAGGTAATTAAAATAGCTAAGGGTGATGATCTGACTTGAAGTGTGTGTTTTGCTCCCGCTGCATCACAGCGGCAGGAGCTGCGTGTCTCCGTCCTGTCAGATTAGACTTCACTCGCGTTTATGTCCATATCGAGATAAAGATAAATAATCTGAATTCAAGGAGGAGCTCCTGTAGATGTTGCACAAAGAACTGTAGCATGGTCAGTAGCGACTGGAGCACGATAGCAACCCTGCGGGGGAGAGGCGGGGCTATGAAAACGAATGACCGTATAGGCGACTCCACGGCCCCGTTGGACCCCCCAGAGCGCTCCGTTCCCAGATCTATCCACCTTTGGACCCGTTGTCGTTTGCGGGGTCTGTTTCTACGTTTCCCTTACGGCGTCGTCGAGCTTAGAGGGCTATACGCATGAGAAATATGCGGATTCAACCCGTTTTCGTCCTCGTGGAGCCTAGGCCTTAGGTTGAAAAAGTCCAGTGGCGAGTCCCTTGACGTCTCACCTTGATGTTATCTAAATTAATTTCTATGAATACCCAAGAGTCTTCTCTTAATAGACATGCGACTTTGTGCTAATCCCAATAAGTGTTTTGCATGCAGAATAAATGTGTTATTTCCACATATTCTAAACATTGTGTATTTGACTATTTCTGCATGCTTAGGTCCCAAAACATTCTGGATTTGCCTAAATTGATTATGACTGGTAAACTGAGAGTCTTGTAGGTCAAATGAGCCCAAGGGAATTCATGTGTTTTGATGTTAGTCTCCATAGCAGCCATTTAATTGTAATGAGACCTCTTTATTTTCATGTAACCTGGCTGTATACATTTTGCTGTTGTGGGATCTAGGATAATCAACAGTAGACTCAAAGACAGAGGTCATTCAGAGGATGTATGGGTAGTTTAATATTACCAATTTATAAACTGTAAAATCATAGAACAACATGGAGGCTGTAGTGAAAACAGCAGAGGTCTATACATTTCCTCCTCCAAGCGCACAAGTCACCTTCTAATCAACCTGAGCTCATACATCAAAAATATATTGTACCACGGTCAGGTCGTCAAAGAATTAAACCATCAACCATCTCTGTAATAGATGTAACAGTTTGACCTGCTCTCCGGTGTCCCCATGACCCTAAACAAACCCTGTACCATCATCCAAATATATCACCCCCCCACACACCCCTCCCTTTCGAGCTGTGTATGTTTTCCAGTCACTAATTCAGAGTTCAGGTTAGTGGGAGGGGGTGAGAGGATTGTTATTTGTCAAACCTTTGTCAACAATTTATTATCTCCTGTCTTCTCATTCCATGAATACAATAAAAACTGATGGAAATAAAAAAACAGGGATTATTAATAAAGGTCACATCTGGCTGACGCTCTGAGAGGCCATTGGTTTTCGAAATTGGCTGTAAAGTCAGATGATAACCACATCGGCATAACCTTTCCAAAAATAAAAGGTTATGTAAAGGTTCCATGCTTAAATTACACGGACTATTTAAGGCTTGTCTCGAAGTTTAGAAAAGTTAGATTAGCTTTTAAGGCGATTACTTTATGAGACATATCTATAGCTTATTATATGTAGGCTACAAGTGAAGATACCAGGACGAAACTGGTTAAAAATAATATTCTTCAGCAGATAAAACACGAAAAGGAAACCACACACGTTTAGGAATTAAAACACATATAGTAAATTGAGCTAACTGCACTGGAGACCTCTAAATATCTATATGTGTTGTGAAACCCCAGGCAGCTAACGTTACGGACATATTGCTCAACGCGGTGATATGAAGGTCATCCGCGAAGGCACCGAGCCACCGCCTCGCGCGCTCACCTGAGGGCTGTAGGCGGCCGTGGGCGCAGAACCCGTCAGTTTCTGGGTGAATCCGCTGAACTTGTAGTACATTTTCCTTCTGAAGGACGGGGAAGATGTTATCCACAACAAAAATCTACCGGTAAAGGGTCTTCCGGTTGCGACCGTCGAGGGAAGATGACGTCTGAAGTCAGCTTGTCCGACACTGCCTGATTACAATTCAAATGGACTCCAAAACCTACAGAAATTCATTTTACATTTTTAAATGGTGTTTATCTGTCCAATTAATTATATTTTTGCATTCAACAACATATGAACAATATATATTTTGTATACAGCAACGTTTACATCAGGGGTAGACATATATAAAGTAGTACAAAATGATATAAGTAAATAAATACAAAAAAATACAGATTCATTTCAGATTGAATATTTGCTAAATACACAATTAGTTTTGATTTCTGGCTTTATGGCTGAATGTACATGATTGGCTTTTCCCAAAAATGTGGGATTCACCACATTTTTCTCAAAACTACATAATTTATGGACTTACTTTAGACAACACATAGATAACTTTTTGGTCAATAAAATTGTTTTTCTATGTAAATGTTAAATTCATATATCCAAATATATAAAAGGAAACCCCACATTTTTTATTATTTTACAATGAGTTTCATTTTTTTTTTTAAAGCCTTTAAACTAATGAAAAATGGAAATGCAATTCCACGGTTAATCTGAATTAATTGTATTACTTTAATGTCTTGTCATCATTTTCTTCGAAGACTCTGAAAGCCATATTTGTGCTGGATGAGGTGTGTATGGAAATGTTTTATAAACTAAACAATATAAGTATGTTAAACATTTAAGTAAGTCAAAGTGCTTAAGCAACATTTTGACAACCGGTTATTAACTTGAGTGTATTTCCATTTTATGCTACTTAAACTTCTACTCCAATACAACTGCATTTCAGTTCCATGGGTCTACTTATTTAACTATTTATAAACCATGAATGTAAATATACTAAGACACAGCTCTTGTGTATATAAATAACTAGCTCTGTAGCCTACTGCAAATCAATTACGAATATTTTTGTCCTTCATAACAGGAGGACAAAATGAAGGAATATTTTTGTCCTTCATAAGGGTTAATAATTCTGGTCAAATGGTGTGTCCAGGATTTTATTTGAGCTTTATTTTGACGATGTATAATTACCATATATTGTGGTACATTTTTACTTCAATTAATTTGGTAGCTTAAGTTAGCTTTCTAGGTTTTTTGCAGATTTAGATCGTAAATCAACTAATAAATTGTGTTTTTGGTCTATTATTATAGGCTAAGCTGCTAATAATAAAGTAATGCAATATAATGTTATATGATTTTCAAATGAGCCATTCTGCAAATGAGCATGTTTCTTTAACTTTTGATACATTAAAAATATGTGTGTACTTCGTTCACCACAACTGTACTTTTTGCAGTGACCATGTAGAAGCTGGGATTTATTAAACATTTTATAGCAAATAACAAGGTGGTATTGGCATTATTATTGAACTAATCCCAATAAAGATCTAAAAGATAATGAAGGATAATGATTATCATACTGTTATTAAAAAGAGTACGCCCTTATCTTAGTTGATGTTCAACTCCTGCATCACTTTAGGAGAAAAATATAATCAGACATTGTTAAGTGCAAATTAGACCTAACGATTCTTTCCTTTAAAAATGTGCTGAGGAAAAAGCAGCATTTCTTCAGCTGTGAATAGGTCTCCCACCCAGGCTGAATATAGCGTCAATAAACTACATTAGTCCAAAGATTAAAGCAGCCAAGATAAAAACAAGAAAGGACTTTAATCCCACCATCTCAGAAGTCTGGTAAATGCACCCTTGGTGAATGCATTACTTCTTAATGAAAAACTTTGACTAAAAGAACAAATATATATCGCCCATAAAGTAACACTAAAAAATATTCTTTCTTTCTTACTTTTTAGTCAATCTGACTTTTCTGAAAGGTAAGTCCTACATGTCCTGCATACATTAAAATATTGAAATGTCCAACCATGACTTGCTTTTTAAAAATATATAATATAATATTGACTGTAAAAGCTGATGCTATCCCTCATTCTCTTGACAGCAGAATGTTTGTGAGCATCTTTGTCGACATTTGATTCTTGCTCTGTCTCTCTCCCCCAGGCTCAGTTCACTTGAAAAAACTGAATGTTTTTGTACTGTGTTACATAAAGTGCTATTTAAGTAAAAGCTCTTTCAAGTACAAGCCCAGAACGCTGCGTTCTCTGAGCCTCAATGAATGATGGACCCTTAGTCCACCACTTTGGTACAGGCTGAAATAAAACAAAAAACTGTTGGACGGATAACCTTGACATTTGGTACACATTTATTGTCTCCAGTGGATAAATACTGACTATAGTATCCCCTGACTTTTCCTCAATTTTTAAAATATTGATATCATGTTAATAATACACAATTGTAATTATCATGTTAATAATCCAGTGCTACTTGCGACACATTTCTGTCTTTCCATTCCTCACTCTGTCTCTCATAATGGCCCCCAAACTGTGTGTAATTCATTTTTCCAAAAAATAGACAAAATGCTCAAAGATAAAGATTAATTTAACTTTTTTATGCTGATGTTAGCATTTTAAACCAAGCAACATCGTCTATAAGTAAGTCCCTTTGGTTTTGAATTGAGGTTACGACAACAATGCATTCAGTTGGAGTGACAAGCCAATGGACACATCTAAATAAATGATTTAAGAAACATAATTTGCCCCAATTAAAAACCGCTCGTGGAGCAATTTGTTAGAAAGTTGACTCCATCACCAATTTAAGCCTTAACACCTTCAGACACTTTATGTTAGATCTTTCTTAAATTTGTCGCTCATGTCTATTTTAGTTACCGAATCAGTGGAGGATACTCATTGGAGCTCATTGACAGATGTTCAACATGCTTTTAAGGTCTGGACTCTGATAACAGACAGATCAGCAGCAGTTTGTGATTCAGTTTGTGATTCAGTTTACTCAATCCTCACCTGTGTGAATCTGATGACTGCACTGAATGTCCTTGCCAATGGGCTCAGGTGTTCCTCACATTGAATGTTGCTCTGACAGCAGGTGGCCTAGAGGTGTTAATAGTATGTCATCACATCAAGACCTGCGTTATCAAGTGCCACCTGCCAAAAAAAAGCCTTATCCATTTATCACTTCTCTGGATGTGTGTAGCATTGATTATTCAATAAGAAGCTTATTTAAGATTAGGAATAACTGAAAGAATATTATTAAGTCTGATTCAACTTAAATGTAACATTTTGTATGGTTCAGTTTGATTTGTAATAAGCAATCACATATTCAAAGACATTAGCCCAGATTTTTGTATTTATTATAAAAGCTCATATATTAATCACATCATTTCAAGTTTATAGTCTACTGATGAAAAAGTTGATTGATGGCTTCAATCAAGCCTGGCTAATATTCACTGTGCAGAAAGCTATGTCACATGGGCTGGAAAGTTTCGTGGGGAATGTGGTAAACCATTGATTATCTTTTTTGTGACTAAAAGCACATTGATAAAACAACAACAACAACAAAGATGATGAGATGTGTACTGTCCAAAATACACACTAAACTCATACAAGGCGGCAACGTTAACAAGGAAACAACAAATCCAGACTTGAAATGTAAGGACTGACAGATAAATAACAGACACATTAATTGTATAATTTACAACATAAGAGCTTATGCTTGATGTGCAATTGTGTATGAGTGCGCATGTGTCTGTATGTGCATTTGTGTACAAAGAGGACGTTGATGGCAAGAGGAGAGGAGATGCAGAGAAAGGCTGTTGTGTGGGAGAGGTGTTGACTTGTTTACTTGGATCATGTGTCGCTTCAACAAATCATATCATCGACAATGCAAACATCATGAAAGTCAGAACAATAACCTCTAATTAATTTTTTTACCACAAAATAATCATGAATTTGATATCCTTTTCCCATTAATCGAAATGTAATAAAATGCTGCGCACCAGCCAGGAATTGTGTGCGTGGATATGTGCTTATATTTGTGTACACACAAAAACCAACCACCATTATGATTGACATGTTGCAGGATGGAGGTTGCCTTGGAGACACAGAAACACAAAATGCCTTACATTCAGTCACAAATGGAGAAGCAAAACACTCTCTTTCTTTTCAGTCTTTGTGCTCAGGGTTGCTACACATTCTGTCATCTTTGTCCCAGAATCTTTTATCCTCCAGTTCACACTCCATCTGCGCTGTCAAATCGGCCGCCCTTTTATTAGTCTAGCACCTTGTTCTTGCTGACCTGTCTCCATATTTCATTATCCCATGCCTTAGACCCCTCCTACTATCCCTCTGTGCACCCCTTTTTCATCCCTTCTTCACTTCTCTGTTCACTCCTTGTCTATATTTCACAATGCATCTAGGTCACACATCAGCCTTGTGTAACTTGTACCATCTGGGGGAAAAGCTTTGACAAAGTGAAAAGCTGATGCCCAGACAAACGCGCAAACACACACAGCACTGGATGCAACATTTAGAAAAAAGCTGCCGTCTCTGCCAATGCTGTAACCATGGGAATACAGTGTAAACAGAAGCCGCTGTCAATAAAATTATTTGAGTTCCTATTCCCCTGACCAAGTTCTGTTGTTAAGGAGACAGGCGCAGAGCATGCTGGTTGAAGACGATGATTTCAGATCATCAATACAACAGGCAGGAACTAGACAGGCCAAATAAAATCAGGTGCAGCTCAGGCAGGAAACAGGACAGGGCATGAAGTTGATCATTATTATCATCTTCAGGAAGGAGGTTATGATTTTTGGTTTGTTGGTTTGTCAGTAGGATGACAGAAAACCTACTGGTACGATTTTCATGGAACTTCTTTGTGTGTGAAGTGAAGAAGAACTCTAAACCTAAATGTTGAAGCAGATTCACATCAGTGGATACAGAACTTGTTTTCACTCATGGAAATGGTTTTTATCAGAGGACTCCAAGTTTATCTAGTTACACAAAAGGAACATCACTTAGGGTTTGTTGACTTTTCTTCTGATGTAGGTTTGGTATAAATGCATGCTCATTGCAGTAACTCCACTGACAAGTTGCGTGCGTATCTGGCAGAGCGCAGTTTGAGTTCTTGGTAGCACTGTACAAAACTGTGGTAGATGAATGTGATTGGCAGTGCCAAGAGAACAATGCCGCTCACGACACACATTCCCCCAAGCACCCGTCCTCCAACTGTCACAGGGTACACATCCCCATACCCGACAGTCGTCATGGAAATGATGACCCACCAGGCGGATGCTGGGATGCTGGCAAAATCCGGGTTCTGTGTTCCTAAATTCAACCCGTGCTCCAGCAGCTGGGCCAGAGCACTGTATATTGCCATGGCGACAAAGACAAACACCATCAGCATAACCATCTCCCGGTAGCAGCGTGTGAGCGTTAGCCCCAGAGTCTGCAGGCCCAGGAAGTGTCTGGCCAGCTTCATGAGCCAGAACACTCTCATCATCCTCAGCACCCGCAGTACCACCCCGGCCACCCCGAGCCCAGCATCAGGCACCCCGGCCTGGGCCAGAGCCATGGTGACATAGTAGGGGGTGATTGCAATCACATCGATGATGTTCAGCGGCTGGCGGAGGAATTCACACTTGCTTCTGGCCACCAGAAAGCGTATCGTGCACTCTGCTGTAAACCAGCCAATACACACTGCCTCCACCGTCCTACAGAGAAAAACAGGAGAGGATAAAAATGAGCTGAAGTGACTGTAAACAGGAAATTGCAGAGGAGCTACAGTGAGATATGGATAATAGACATTGTTTGACAATCTGTAAATGAGGAGGAAGAAGGATGCAGAGCAAGAGGGAAATGAATGATGGGAAATAAGGAGGACATGTGACGCATTTCAGGGTTGACATAATTAAACAAGGACAGCAGGGTGGATATATAATAAGGAAACTGCCTGGAAACTGCACAGAGGGGGGATTAAAAACCCTCACATAGAAATAAAAAAAACAAGCAAGCACACGATAACCCCATTGATTAGCACAGCAAAGGCAATCTAACTGAACCAGAGTGAGGCGGAGCTTGTATTGTACAAAAGAACAGCCAGAGCCTCAGGATAAGTACACAAAACTAAATTATAGAGTTACTCAGAGAATTACATCATCTACTGGCATGAAACTAAATTAGAAAAATCTTGACCCAGAGTGTAAACTACATTTTTAGTGATTACCTAACCACTGTGAGTGATCCAAAACTATGTCCAGCGTGAGTGAACAAAACCCAGCCTTATATAGAGAGAGGTTGCCTCGGGCTTCCATAGAGAGAACATGCTGTGCAAAAATAATGTGAAAAGAGAGGTGCATCTTCCACCTCGCATCCAAAGAACTGAGGCCAAAATAATAGTCAAGAAGCTGACTGATAGAAGATGAATCCTGTAAATGGCTTAATTCCCTTTTGTTTGCTACACGAATATAAAATCCGTCAGTACACTTTCTATTTTCAAATGATTACCCACTGGCTTATATTATGTATCTATCATGAGTCTGATATGTTTGTCCTTCTTGTGTAGGCATACTGTGCACTGTAAACTAACCAAGCCAATAAAGATATTTTAGGTAATGAGGCACGAGGCTCCGGAAAAACCCAGGGTGTAATAATGAACACTACACGTTTAGTACATAATATGGATTGTTTATTGATTGGCTTCCTTGGAGCTTGCCTGACACGTGAGCGTCCTAACGTTTAACGTGATGCCTGAAACTTACTGTATTGATCAAAGAGGTGTTTTCAGTTTAAGCAAAAGGCTTAAGTCGCTATACCAACACATTGCATATTCCAATAACTTGCATATAGACTGTTATTGCACTATTTCACTTTTTAAACTATTTTTGTATTTACTATTTACTTGCACTATATTTCTATTTATCTGTTTTACTGTGTGTTGCACTGTTGGAGGAGCCTGTGACCTAAGATTTTCATCGTCATAACTACATAGCTATGCTCGTATATGACAAAATAAAAACCTTGAACCTTGAAGTATAGTCATGTTTTAAATATATACTGTATATAAATTCGAAGTTACTGTTGATTTTCCACCATTCAATAGAGGAAAAACTATCAGGGCTCAACATGTTGGGATGTGAAAAATGCATCCATGCCTAAACGTTATGGGTAACACATGGAACATGCGCAATAAACGCATGCGTGTGTCCATAAGTGTGTTTATTTATATATGTGTAAAGATTGTTGATTATGAAATTAATTAATCTTTCATATATTTTAACTTGTTAGGGTCATATGGTCACAACTGACTTTTATGCACCAGATGTAAAGCACAATACTGCGTCCTAAGATTTAGCAGCATCTTCAGGAAGTTTCTAGTTTTATTCCTCCAAACCTAACTGACCCCTGACTATCGCCTACCTGTGTTCCTCCACAATGTTTCTCTTGGCAGTATCCCAGTCCGGCAGGGTGCTGGCACACAGCATTATCATAGAAACCAGCACAAAGATCACTGACACTGAAGCCAAAAGCTGTGCCAATATTGAAGAGTTTGGCTCCTCGAATGTCTTGCGCATTTTCTCGAGCCATTTGGCGCGACCGGTGAGCGCAGTCTCGTGCACCTGTTCGCCCGAGCTTTGGGAGTCAACCCCCGAAACTCCGACGTCCATTTCGGAAATAGTGTCAATTCCAATCTCGGACATCCTGTCGTCCAGGCGTTTCTGGCAGCAGGAGTCCAAATGCACGCTTTCCAGTCCCCAATAGAGCATCTCTGTGTAGAAGGAAAGCTCACACACTCCGGGGACAAAGCGGAGTTTACCGGAGCGCAAGTACAACATGATGAACATAAAGACCTGTGAGTGGCGATCAAAGAAAAACTCGTTCTGGTCCCGGTCGTAGTCATCGCACAGTTCAAGAACCTCTTTCTCGGTTGCGCATGCATGCAGACGGCTGACGCGCCGGAGAGGGAAATCCTTTATCACCTCACGGGTGAAGGCGTAACGGGTTCCCCCTACATTGAGTACGCAGATGCTCTTTCCGAACTTCATCTTGTAAACCTGTAACCCACACTAAAACTCATCTTCACAGTCCAGCGTCCCTTCCATCACAGGAGTTTGGACATGTGGGGGATACAGTCTCCCCTGGCTGTCCCCACGGGGCGTGGTTGGCTCTGAGTGCAGCTCCGTGTCTGAAGGAAACTCTCCCCTCTGTCCTTTACTCCTCTCCTCTCTCTGTAGCCTGTACAACAGACTCTCCACCCCAGTAAGGGCGAGCCAATCCCATCAATGATGTCACATGCGCGCGCACGGACGAACGCATTGAAAGAAAAACATACAGGGAAACTCGAGGGACTCATTTTACAAACATCATAAACAATGTTTTGACATAGACTTTAAAAAGTAGGCTACACTACTTTTACGGATGAATCATACGCTAATTTCCTACAACCTGATATATTCAGAATCCTCAATAAACATAAACAACATCATTGCATCAACTATCAAATTATTTTTGCACAATTCTAATAAGATTTGTTTTAAAGATTTGTTTTATTTTGATCTTTCCTCATAACCGATATACTCTATTCTGTTTTAATGTTTCTATTCTATATTTACAGTATGTTCTTGACATTGTATTATCCTGTTTTCCCTTTATGATTTATGTATACACCAAACACTAAAACAACCTTGTCGTAGTTGAAAATCAACTTGGCAATAAACCTTATTCTGATTCTGAATTGCATTGCCAAAGACTGATGTTGTTGTGCCCATGACAGTGAAGAACAAATACATGTATAATAACTTATTACGAACATATAACTCCTAGTATCCCCTTAAGTAGCCTAAATCCACAGGCTAATGATATTAAAAACGTAAATGCCAAAAAAAGTTGGAACAAGAATAAATTACGCACACATTTTAAAGGTAATCATCAGGATTTGTAAAGGTAACTGTGTGTGTGTGCGTGTGTTAGTGCGCGCGCCAGTGTGTGCGCGAGTGTGTGCGCGGCCCCCCTCTCAACGTCACCAGCGGTTTTTCGGGTTGATCCGACTTCTTTTGGCTGCCGTGAGTTCACTGTATTGTAAAGGGTACTGTGAATCCTAGAGGAAGGGGGGGGGTTGATTTGGCAAAAAAATCTCCCGCTTGGGTACACATCCGGAGTCTCGACGATCATAATTCACCGCACCATTTACCTTTTAAAATACTGAGTTTTATTGTTTTTATTAATTTATTGTATTTCTCTTAGTTTATGGTTTACGTTAACACTCCGGGAGGGCAGAAATGGCGGCCAACATGTACCGGGTCGGAGGTATGTATGTCAATGTGGATCTTTTTATCAAACTGAAACCCTTCCAGTTTTGCATCCCCTGGGATTTGTGTGGCGCTATTTTTGGTTTGTTTGCACCTAATAGTGAGATACGGCTGTGCTACACGTACAGAGGTGCGTTAAGTTTCCGCAGGAAGGTGAGCGTTTCTAAATATTTTGGATTCAAAATGGGTCAGGCCTCGCGTCTGTCGTGGCCACAGCAGCTAGCCGCCAGCTTGCTAAATGGCTAGCTTACAATGTAAACATGATTCAATTGTCGGCACCCTTGTTGCTCTTTGGTTTTCGGATAGCCGCACAGGGAATACAAGGTTACGGACACACTGTAGCACTACTGAACTAGACATGTGTTCAAAAGGTTGTTAAAATGTTACCACGGACAGTGTGAGGCTGCCTTTGTATTTGCCTCTTCTGGCATGCAGCCATTAGTACGAGACCTTATTTAGCTAACGTTAGCACCAGCAATGGCTTCACTGATTAGCATTATTGCAGCTGTGGCGCCTGTACCACACTTTTAAGAGGAATGCATCTCACAGTCCTGGTAACATTACACACCCGGCTTTGCCACAATGTCCACCTATATTCTTTAGAAGCACTGTTCATTATCACATTGGCTTGTTAGCTTCTTAGCAGTGTATTGGAATTCATTATCAAATTACAGTCTCGATTAATGGCGTCGTTGCTTCCGGATGCACTTACACCTTTATTCACATCCATATTAATTCATCTTAAATGGCTCATATGCTTGCCATGTCACCTAAACATGAAGCATCTCTGCACATTTGATGTAATTGGCAACCGTTTGTATAAATGTTGTTACCATATGCATCAGCTTGTTGTCCTTATGGTCACCTCTTTCAGCTATGTTGTTGCCTTCAGGTACTATTTGAAAACGGCAACTCATAGGATGAAGTTTGATGATTCAGTTGTTTTTATGAAATAATAACACATCTGATTTGGATCTAGTCTTTTGGAAATGTTCATACCTATAGCTCGTCCTAGTTTGTGCAACATAAGAGAAGAATATACATGCCAGGGCTGGAATTCTTTCTGTTTCAACAATACAACTGGGGATAAACATTGTGAATCCAGACGTGGAGAACTTTAGTATTTATATGCAGAGACTGAATATGAAACCTTGACAACTGTAAAATATTGACCTCTTAACTGACTTGTGTATGTGCCTGGAGCATAGTTATAACAATATTTAAGACAGCACTTGAAGACAGCATTTGCCATGTTCAGAACTTTTCTTAAGTTACTGTATGTTCTGCTCAGGTAGAGGTTAACCAGGCTAGATTTCTGTACAGTGAGTTTGACTGAAATATATCTCTGTCCTTAATGTATTTATCTTACAAAATCATAACAGTGTGGTGACTGTCTCACAGGATTTGGAGACCTTGCAGTCAAATATAATCACCTTTGCCTGAACCGGTTTGACTTGGAATAGACATTGTTTGTGATGCTTGCTCAATCCATTATCCCGTCTATTAATGGCTCTTACAACCGTTAGATGTAACAATTGCTGATAGAGGTGAAACATTAGTTGATGAATGGTATGTTTAAAAAAAAAAATCAAGGAAAACAGTATTCTCACTTTATGCTCAGCCAGTTTCCTGGTTCTCAGCTTACCTAGGGAGCTAGGAATGGGTTAGTGGTGCAATAAAACGGGTTGTTGAGCATATACATCCTGTTCACTTTATAAGGTACAACCATACAATTTAATTCTATTCTACTGTTAGGATTGTAATGTATAGCGTTGTTGACACTGTCAGAGAAGGGTTGATATTATCTATACAATACAATACAATGCAGTCCAATGCCTGTGCAAACTAAGGCCCCGGCTCCACGAGGACAAATACGGCAAAACGCACCGGAGTAACGCAAATGCAACCGCAAAAAACCTTCCGTCCCCACGCAATATACACCGGATTGTGTCAAGCTCCACGAGACGGCTCCGTTTACATCCAAACGCTGGGAAAGCTGCAGTACATATGCCGAACCTGTACGTGGCGCTGTAACTTCCTCCACAAAAGCAGCAACTTCCTCCACAAAAGCAGCGAAGAAGAATGGTTGTCATGGCTGCACTTCTGTGTATTCTCCGCGGTGGGGGCCGACAGAACCGGGCAGAGTTTTTCGCCGGTCAGCTTGTGTTAAAGTTTAAATCTTCCGGACAAAATTATAAAAGTGCCGGTCAAAGGTCTTCATTGTTATTTATTGAGCTTTAAAAGAAATGAATAACGACGATATAATGATATATAATCATCAAATACACAGTCTATCTCTTTTTCCTCTCTTCTCACAGCGTCAGTGTCTGTCTCATGCAGCAGCTGATCCTGTAATGAGTGACCCGACAGTAAAAATGAACATATTTATAACTAGTTTAGGTAGTTTGAGAGGTAATTAAAATAGCTAAGGGTGATGATCTGACTTGAAGTGTGTGTTTTGCTCCCGCTGCATCACAGCGGCAGGAGCTGCGTGTCTCCGTCCTGTCAGATTAGACTTCACTCGCGTTTATGTTCATATCGAGATAAAGATAAATAATCTGAATTCAAGGAGGAGCTCCTGTAGATGTTGCACAAAGAACTGTAGCATGGTCAGTAGCGACTGGAGCACGATAGCAACCCTGCGGGGGAGAGGCGGGGCTATGAAAACGAATGACCGTATAGGCGACTCCACGGCCCCGTTGGACCCCCCAGAGCGCTCCGTTCCCAGATCTATCCACCTTTGGACCCGTTGTCGTTTGCGGGGTCTGTTTCTACGTTTCCCTTACGGCGTCGTCGAGCTTAGAGGGCTATACGCATGAGAAATATGCGGATTCAACCCGTTTTCGTCCTCGTGGAGCCGGGGCCTAAAACATCAATGGTAAACTTATTGTTTAACTAGATTGGATAGTGAAGACCTCCGTATAGGCAGATGGAGTATACATGTGCTCCATGGATGGTCCCATTTACAGAGTTGGCGAGACGATCCTCAGACTTTGATGTGTTAATGAGCTTTGAGTGGTAATGTGGAAACAACATGGAGGTGTTGCAAAGAAAATCTGTAGTAGTCCTGTTTTATTGCTCAGTGTTCCAGGAAGCCTATTTGCCTAACAACAGAGTACAAGTGAAACCAATCGGGTGAGCCATGAAAGTGTGTACTATGCTTTCGCCAGCTTTCCAAGTGTTTCAGACTTTAAGGGCCACTCGCGTAAACTTTTTCAAGTCTGGAACCGATTATTCTGACCCAAGATGAATACATCACAACAAATCTAAACTCGCAATGTTGACAAAGTGAAGCAACATTTGAGTATATGCCCTGTGATTCAGATATTATCCAAAATCGAATGGGGTTTTCCTTCCTCTTACGTATTAAATCATCTCTGACAGTGTCAATTAAAACTTCATGACGGTGAGCTATTGAATGCCATTCCATTTGACAGGTTTAGCTAAAAAGACGTCACAATGTGTCCCACAGGATATTCGGTAATCTGATACAGTGACGTGATCATTCCATGTTTTCTCTTGCAGATTATGTATTCTTTGAGAACTCCTCCAGTAACCCTTACCTGATCCGGCGAATAGAAGAACTCAACAAGGTACTGAAGTGTTTGTTTGTCTCTTTTGTGTGTGTGTTTATGCCGTTTATTGCCTGAGGGTGAATAGCTAGGATTCCTCCCTGTTTGTATCCCCACCCCCCACTTTGAAAGGGTGTGTGCGTGTGTTTGCAATTTGTGAACACT